AAGCAACCCTGGGTTCAATTCTCAGTGCAAAAAAAAAAAAAAAAAAAAAAAAAATGCAGAAAGTTAAAGAGGACTTGAAATACCCAGGTGAGATGTCATCTTCTCTCTTCTATGGGTTGTCTCCCTAGGAGCTCCCTAATTAACCAGATTAAGTGCTAAAACCCTACACAGTTTCCCAAACCTTTCTGAAATGATAAAAATAACAGGGCAGGGGTCATAATAATCCAATGCAACCCTTTTCGCCTCAGTCATGCTAGTGGCTGCTACCTCAACAGGTCAGGTTCCCACCACCTTTCTGAAAGGCCCCCAAGGTCCTTGCAAGAGGGTGCTTCAATGTATGGGCAGCTCATTAGAGAGACTGTCATTTTTGTGAAGTCAAACACTTTTATCTTTATTCCACACGAAATCTCTCTTTCTGAACTTTACCTTGATTGATAAAATCCTTTCCATTTCGATTAGGCAAAGCTGGTGAAAGCAGGAATAGTGTTTATCCAGGGCTTAAATTAAACCTATGGAGTACTCTCTCCCAGGCTGCCCCTCCTCCTCCACAACTTTCTATCAGTAGACTTGCAAAGGAAGCTTTCATTTAGCCAGCTGTTTGCTCTATTTTACATGATGGTTCTCAGTGTTCAGCAGGAACAAAGATCACTGATATTCCCATTGGGTTTATCAGAAGCAACTGAGAACAATGAGCTCTTTTTATGTTGAAAATAGAGATTTAAAATTTATTCATAATCTTTACTTTTTCTCCCAACACATTCTCATCCCTGTGGGCTCCTTTCTCTAATTAGCCATGCAAGTCCTGACATTAAAATTTAGCTACATTTTAGTTTCATTTTCATTAGTGTAGTGTCTTGTTCTTCTTCCTTATACAAACACAATATGTTTATATTTGAACACATCATTTGTTTCCAAAAAAAAAAAAAAGTATATAAAAATAAGAGCTCTGATTCCACTCGTGAGGGAAAAAATGTGTGTTTCGAATATGTCACCTCATAATCACTTGGCCACTCCTGAAGTTAAGTTGCTAGATAAGTTCAATTTACACAAAATATGAACTTTCCTGAAAAGCAACAGCATTATGTGCCAGGCCTTCCCATTTACCTCATAAAAGCATATCAGACTAATATATTCCTCCTCTCTGGGGAAAAGCAAGTCTGCCTGATCTTCATAACACTGTGAGCTGTCTTCATCCTAATGATGAGGAATCAGACTTGGAAGAGAGAACCAAGAATCCAAGTCTATGTGACCCCAAAGCCAGAGCTATCTATAAATTATGTTATTAGGGCCAAAAGGAACCCTGAGAATATTTTCTAACTATAGGATGGGTACCAAAATAGGTGGTAGGGGCTGGGGCTGGGGCTGAGTGGTAGAGTGCTCGCCTAGGATGCACGAAGCACTGGGTTTGATCCTCAGCACCACATAAATGTAAAATATTGTGTCTACCTAAAACTTAAGAATAAATATTTAAAAAATAAATAAAATCGGTGGTATATGGGATGTTGCAAATAAGTGCCACATTGAAGAAATTAATTTCTTTTCAATACTCTTCTAATCCTTTTGACAACTTCAACAGGAAAGTTGGTTCTTTGTTCAATGCCTCTAACCCTTGCTCATCTGCGTTTCTATCAAAGAAAATGCAGGCCTTAGAATCAGTTTTTAAAGTAGTACTCGGAAAAATATTATTCTATATTTAATTTTCATTGTAATTGCTTTTATAGCTATGGCAAATGATGGTTTTCCATGTTAGTTGTCATGTAAATCTTAAATTTTCAAAATAAATGTATTAGATTTTTCTAAAAAGTGAGCCTATTTGAAGAAAAATGTTGGGGCTGGGGTTGTGGCTCCAAGCACGAGTGAGACATTGGATTCGATCCTCAGCACCACATAAAAATAAATAAAATAAAGATACTGTGTTTAACTACAACTAAAAACATTTTTTTTTTTTTAAAGAAAAATGTCATTCCCCTTCCCCCTCCCTTTTCCTCCCACCTTTCTTCCCTCTAGAAATAATCTTCCTCCCATGCTCTCCCTCCCTACTCTATCTACTTTGGAGTCACCCCCCGCCCCCGCCCCCTTATATCAGGGAAAACATTTGGCATTTGTTTTTTTGGGATTGGCTAACTTCACTTAGTGGAAGGTGATGGTTGTTACACAAAATACATGTATGAAGATTTGAATTTGGTGTCAACATACCTTATATACAAACAGAGATATGATAAACTGTGGTATATATGTGTATTAAGAATTGTAATGCAAAAAGAGTACATGTATAATGGCATAATTTGGTGTGAACATATTTTATAGTTATGAAAAATTGTGCTGTAAATGGGTAATAATGAATGTAATGCATTCCACTATTGTCATGTATGCAAAAAATTTTAAAAAAGAAAAAGAAAAGTGTTTATAAATAGTGGCTTAATTGGTGAATACTCACTTGACACAAATGAAGAAATCAGGATCTGAAGGGGCAATTAAATGTCCATGTACAAGTCAATTCCTACTGTTGTCCTTGTTTTTCCTGGAGGTTCATCAGACTTTTATTTATTTATTTATTTATCTTTTAACTAACAAATACAAATTAAAGAAACTAGAAATTTTGTTTCTTTCTAGAGCATTCACAGTTCATTTTCTTCTTGCTGAACGGTGTGACATTAAGGTGAATAGTATTTTAGTCTGACAAACTTAGTATTTAGATTAAATCAGAGATAGATGTTGTTTGTTTTTATAAAACTAGTTTATTGAGATATTTCAATGGTTAGCAGTCAGCAAATTCAAGTATAAGCCATAACTATTACAATAAAAAGGCCACTTGCTGGTAGAGGAGTAAGTAGATGTGCCTATAAAACATATAACAGGTGCAACAGTTTTCCAGTATTATCTCTTGAAAGTATAATTATCAGAACAACCTTTTTAAAGGCATTTGATGTAACTCCCCAAATACATATCTGGCAATTTATTGCTTTCAGTAGGCAGATGATAATGTGGACCACTTCAGATATAACATGCATGCTTTTCCACTCAGCTACCGGGGATCCACAAGATATCTCAAAATTCTGTTCTATTCTAATAGACATAGTCATTCAAGAGACATCCTGAGGCTGCTGTTTAGGGCTATAAGACACAACAACTTTCTTTTCTTTAACAATACTTTCAATACTCCAAGGCTGAATTTCATAAAAAGTGAGACATCTTGTTAGAACTGGGTTTCCTATGTACAACACATCTGGACAATGAATAACCTGTTATTTCCTTGTATTGTCCTAATTAAATAGCAATGATAAAAGATTTGCCAAGATGCTACAAAAACCCTTTAGCCGCAACAGCATACTCATCAAGGAGGGATAACCCTGGGAAAGATAAGCTGTCTTCAGTTTATCATTAGGATTCTTATTCTCAACATCTACTTCCAGAGCTACCATTTTGGGCATCTGATTTCCAATCTTATTCCTCTTGTTTTTTCATTTCACTTCTTCACCACGATATGTGGTGAGAGCACAAGGGTGGGCAGGCTCCAGCATCAGCTTACCTGGGTTCCAGTGCTAGCTCTACCACTTCCGTGATTAAGCTAGCCATTTACAACTTTGTGCCTCAGACTCATCTGCCATGGGCTGATGCTACCTCATGTAGTTGCTGCTTTTTCAATCACTTGGTAGATCCCAGTCTTATCCAATCATTCAGTCATGCATTTAATAAACACCATGTGCTAATCTCTGTTCAAGACACTTGAGATACATTAATGAACAAAACCAAAGGTCCCTGCCTTTGTGGGGTATTTTTGGGTAGATGAAAAACAGGGAGGTCGTTGGAATGTTGGCAAATATGAGATTTAATGTATTTGTTAAAATAAAAATCATCTTTCCAGGAAAATTAATGTCCATTTTCTGTTAATCATTCACTTGTTATAAAATGATTAGAAACTCAGTCACCTTAGTTTCTTGTTTCCCCTATAGCCAAACCATTAAATACTGTGTTTTTCTTTTGTAATGTCTCTGGGATCTACCATAATATGAGCAGTCAGGCCTGGGTTACTGTTGTGGCTTCCTAGCTAGTCTGTTTTTACTCTTTCCTTGCTCCAAGTCATCCTTCCACTTCTGGGAATATGCACCAAAGAACTGAAAGCAAGGAGCTGAACAGATATTTGAACGCTTATTTTCACACAGCATCATTCACAATATCTTACAGGTTAAAAATAACCTAAATGTCCACTGAAGGATGAATAAGCAAAACATGGCATATCCATACAATGGGTATATTATTCAGCTTTAAAAGAAAATTCTGATAGAACATGGAGGAATCTTGAAAACAAAATATGTTGTGTAAAATACAACACAACAAAGGGCAGATATACTGATGTGATTTATAGAAGGAGATTAGAATAGTAAAATGTTGAGAGACAGAAAGCAGAAAAATGTTTGCCAGAGGCTATATGGGTAGAAAGGAATGGGAATTACTGCATTATAAAGTTTTAGAGATGTTGAGTTGCAAAACAACTTGAACATTCTTAACATAACTAAACTGCACAACTTAAAATTAAGATGGTAAATTTTGTTATCTTTTAGTAGAATAAAGTGATTGAGACTGAGAAACTGAATTTTTAATTTTAATTAAATATTTAAAAACTGGTATTTGACTCAATTACTGTAAAACATGCATATTTGGAACATGTCTATACATTTCACAATGATAATGATCCACTTTGTAAAAATGTTATTATTTGAGTATAGAAAAATATCATTTCTCACTTATTTGAATTGCCAACTATCTCCTCTCACTACCAGGGGAAGAGTATTCCATTTATACTTCAAGCCTAATTTAAGCTGTAAATTACATAACCTGTCTTTAAGTAGCCTTCAATCACACATGATAAGCATCTTAACATCTATAAAATGACCACCTAAAGAAATACAATTGAATTCATAAAAAGATGTATTAAATCAAAAGTACATGCCAATACTACCAATATGGTTTTATTTTTGTCATTGTCAACATGTACAGCATTGGAATTGTATCATTTTATTTTATTTCTTAAATATTACTGAAGTATGCATTAAAAAGATACTAATACATTTAAAGCCAGCAGCAGTGACACACACCTAATCCCAACTATCTGGGAGGCTGAGGCAAGAAGATCACAAGTTCAAGGTCAGCCTGAACAATATCACCAGACCCAGTCTCAAATAAATATATATAAATAAAAAGGGTTGGGGATATGATTTAGTGGAATGCATCAGGGTTCAATCCCCAGTATCACCAAAAAACATTTAAGAAATATGACACATAAGAAGGCCTCTGTAAACATAATCCTTTCTCAATATTTTTTCCTATTTTGCTTCATACGTAAATAACTGAATCTATATTATCAACTCTTATGGCCTAGAACTGCATACACATTTTGGAGTTGAGAATAAATGTTCTCTTTGATTTATAAATAACATGCAGTATTTGTAGTGTTTAGTTTCATTCAAATGCTTATCACAAATTCTTATTGTCTCCCAACTTGTTCTGCTAATAGACCTTTTCAGTTTACTGGTAAAGATGCCATGAATTAAAAGTCATAATGGTCAAATAAATATATATATATATAAAAAAAAAGCAGAGAAAGTGGCTACCTAAATATCACTAAATCTTATAAAAACCACTTCAGCTTGTATGAACAATAAAAAACGTTAGTGAAGAATGAATACCATTCATTTAAAAGGTATCTAACAAAAATCTAAAATTTAGTCAACAATGAAATTAAATCCATATTAGCCTTGCAAAAAAATTCCACTGAGATTCTGTTACAGAAACAGAACCAATAACATCCTAAATTTTCTAAAATTTATTTTTGAATTATCATTTTGATGAGTTAAAACTTTAAGGGTAAATAATGACACACAAAATGATTTTAGAAAGGCAAACTTATAATTCCTGATACACATTTCATTAGTTTTTGTTTAATGACTAGAAATCCTTATTTCTTCAGAAAATATTACATATTCATTGAAACACACCACTTATCTAGTGATTTATTATATATCTACATCATATTTATTAGATAAGAATTCCAATTACTTTTATGTAATAAAAGTAAAAAGGAATTTTGCATGTTGGCTATGTTTCACTTTATACATTATTTTTAGGCCTTTATAGGATATAAAACTTAGAAAAACATTCAACTAATATTCTTATTTGATGTAAATGACTCAAACTACAAACAATACTAAGCTAAGCACTGTTATTACTTTTAAAATCTAAGTTTCTAGAAGTTTTATTTTTCAGTAAATACAAAATGATCTAATTCACACTATTAACTGCCCAAAACCTGTTTAAAAAACTAAATATTCTTTGTTAAAGAGAAGATTACAAGAAATGTTTTCTATGTTCTCATTTTAAAAAACAAGATTCTGGTATACATGGGGAATTTAAATACAAATTCTTACATGGTGGCTAAAATCTTGTCAACTTTCAGCCTGATACAACATAAATCAACAGTTATTATGCATAAACAATTCAAAATTAAAGTTTATAATGGAAATGTCAACAAGTCATAACTACGACACATCAATACTGATGGGTTCCACTATACTTCCACCAGGCACAGCAGATGTGCACATCTGATAGACAGACTGCTTAGAAAATTAAAGCTATCAGAGCTATAAATAAGGAATACATAAATATAAACATAGCAATGCTAAAACATTAGGGCCATTAAAAAAAAAAGATGCGATGCAAACATATTTGATAGTTCTCTCTCTGTAAGCCACTTTCCACTGATTTATAAAGCTATGGTTTTATAATTCTTTTTAAAAGGAAAATTTTTCTACACTGCTGCATGCAGTAATTTCACTGTACATTCTTGACTAAAATGCAATCTTCAAATCCTCTTGAGGAATTTGACATATCTCATCAGAATCTCTCCAGAAAGTCAGCTTGTCATATTTTCAGCAGCCTAGAACAAGAAAATAACATTCATTATTTAAAAACCATGGAAAAGAGACACCATGGAGATAAATAAATTTGTTAATACTACACTACACCTTATTTAGCAAACAACTATTTTCTCATGCAACCAAACCACTTTTATCAGAATACAGTGGTTTTCATTGTTTTTGTTCTAAATCAGAACTACTTTTAAAATTTACTGCTAGGTTAAGAGTAGAAAACAGTTATATTATCTTCAATAGAAGTTAATAAGAGTATGTGTAAAAATGTTCTGCTACTTGAAAAATTAACCTATGACATACCTTAATCTTCATTAATCTTTTTTCTATGTTTTATTGTAATGCAAAAAGGAAATTAAGAATGAAAAAAAAAAAAACTTTTAATGCTACAAGAACAAAAAGGAATAATGAACATTTGGCTAATCTTGTCTTACCTATTCCCCTCCAAAACTATACTTTCCCACTTGTCTCTAAGGAAACTCCTATGTACTCTATCATTCATCAATAAATGGTTTGGCATGTATAAAAACAACAACAACAAAAAAACATGTACTATTAACAGATCTAAAAAAGTAATTTATTTATTTATTCCTACCAGGGGTGATTAACCACTTAGTCACACCCCCAGCTCTTTTTATATTTTATTTCAAGACAGGGTCTCACTAAGTTGCTGAGGCTGGCTTTGAACTTGAGATCCTCCTGCTTTAGCCTCCCAAGCCACTGGGGATTACAGGCATGTGCCACCATGCCTAGCTAAAAAAGTAATTTCTTAATGCCAATATGAAAATGACAAATTTGATCTTTGAAACATGTGAGGCTTTTAATATATTTTATTTCTACTTCCTAATTAAAACTTGCTTTTAGTGTAGATTAAGTTCAGAATTCTTTCATGAAAAGAATTATAAATTCTTTTAATTATAAAATACTTATGAATGGTAAATAATGCAATCTGAAATAAGGCTGAAACCTTTTCTTTACAACCAGCAGAACAGACTTTTTTTTCTATAGTTTAGGCAGCTCCCAAACCCTCACTTACAATAGAATTTCCCTCCTCTGTATTACTACTCAAGAGAATTAGAACCTAGTTTAAAATAATTCCACATTTTAAAATAATTTCTATTCTTATAGTTTCCTATAATAGCTTTAGCTACATACCTTTATCTGTTATCTGTTATCTCCCTAGCTGCATTCTCAGTATCACCTATATTCAGTATTATCTATTAATAAAGACTTGAAATTATATATACAATTTTTGCTTTAATTCAAATATAATTTGTCTTGTTCCTTTTTCGTATTAATTATAGAAATTCCCCTCCAATATACAGACATCAAAACAAGTATTTTTACTGTAGGAAAGTAATACTGTAGCATTTTTCTTATATAAATGCAGAGCTTTCTATCTGAAAAAATAACAATAGCACCCAAGAGATCCATATAGTTACCAGATCGCCACTAAACACTCCCAAAATTTACCAAGGATCAGTCCTGGGAAAAGTCAAAATTCAATAGTCCTCTATTCCAAACATCCCTTTTCTGTGTAAGGGTTTATTCCTTCCCTACCTCGGGGGCATGAGAATTATTTAATCTTTAATTTCTCTCCACTCCAAATTCTACAGCTCCAATATCCTCATATGGGAGACCTTCCTACCAGTGAAAAGACAACACAGATGTACACAAAGGTATTAGTAATAGTACACGGCATCAAGAGAAAGGGCAAAGCAGCCAGGTGTGATAGCCCTCGCCTATAAACTGTTGAGGCAAGAGGATCCAAAGTTCCAGATCAGCCTCAGCAACTTAGCAAGACCATGCTTCAAAATAAAAAATAAAAAGAGCTTTGGGGATGTAGCTCAGTGGTACAATGGCCCTGGGTTCAACCCTCAGTATCACAGAGAGAGAGAGATGGAAAGGAGGGGAAAGAGAGAGAAGGGGAGACAGGAGGAAAGGAAGGGTGGGGGGAGAGGGGGAAGAGAAGAAAAGGGGGAGAAAGAGAGACAGACAGAGACAGAGTGTCTACAGGTGTGTCAATAATGGTATAATTCAAAGAACACCACACTAAAACAAAAGACGATGCCAAGTGGGTTTTGTCCAGAATTTCTCAAATAGTATTGCTGACACATAAATACTACTACTGGGAAGATAATATAAAAATTCAGTACCAATAAGGAATCATTTATAAAATATACTTAATTAGCAATCCTATTTTGCTGTTTTGCCTTATTTTACACATATAATAGCCTATCTATTATTGCTAAAGAATTTATCTAACTGGAGACAGGAGCTAGCTACCTAGATGCTATCAATACACAAATCTCTGAAAGGTAAAAAAAAAAATTCATAAAAATTGTTAACATTTTCTACGTAGTTAAGAGTTCCTTGCAACATTTCAAGATGTCCCTGATTTACATTTTATGCATTTTAAAACAGAGACGGTAAGTACCATGCAATTCAATTCTAGATAAAAATAGTACAATGGAACAGGAACAGTTTTTCTTTACCCTAATTTTAAAGCGAAAAGAAGAAAAAAAAATTAGCAGCAATGATACAAAAACAAAACAAACCAATCTGACACTTATGTCTGTCAAGAAGTCAGGTGGGGCTCAAGGCAGCTCTAAACCAAACAGCAACCTAGTCCACCCCAATATAGCAGTTAAGAAACAGAGTCTAATCCTGGGAGAAGCAAATGAACAAGCTATTCTTCTTTTATAATTCAGTGAAATTAAGTATACTTTATTTTTAAAAACACATTATACTTTCTGGAATGATATCAGCAAATATCATTGCTAGTTATTTCTTAGATAACCTTTTTGTTTCATTCTTTGAAGTTTTCCAATTTAAGGAATTTTAAATTATGACCATGTATGATTTTTATGTTTACATAAATTAAAGAAAAAAAAATTTAAATTAGCATTTCTTCCTAGCTAGAAATGTTTCAGCATCTTATCCTTTCTAGTTTAATGAGATGCTGGTTTATTCGCTTTACATCACAGGAGAATGCATTATAGAGGATTTGTGTGTGAGGCAGATTAATCTTCTATTCAAATGGCCAACAGTTTCTGATTTTGTAAATCTTACTTCTGGATTCTGCCACCCACATCTCACTATGGTCCATATGAGAACGCTTAGAATTGAAAAGCTATGTCAAATAGGTTATTTCTGAACCTCCTATCTTAATACCATGGGTTGTATGTTACCTAAGAAATTGCTACACCAAACACTTATGTGTGTCACCTGTCTTAGTTGGTTTATTTGCCTTGGGTTCCCTTGTAGCTCCAAACTGTGGTATAATATAAAAATTACTTCTTATTCTGATTATTCTCTTTCAAACTGGAACATAATTCAAGAAAAATTCATCTTCTAGTTCTGGAAGATGTTTATCAAACAAATAATATTTCAGAAACATTTTGATGAAAGACTATTAATAGTTTTAATTTTTATCTACAGAATTATTAAAGAATACTGAATGATGAAATGTTCCCACATCACAGCCTAATGACTATTTGGCTTCCAAGAACCATTTCACCTTTCCCTAAATAGCTGGCTCACATACTCTTTAGATACTATTGTAGGGAGAAACTCGGTAGTCAAGAAAATAGCTCTGAGGTCAGCCTAACTTAAAATTCTAGCTCAACCACTTAATTATAAGTACTTAGGTTAAATCAATCATTTTTGCTTCAGTTTCCTTAGCAGCACATATTACTATGTGACTATAGAGGAAATAATGCCAAGATAGCATTGGATCTACCACAAGGAAAGTACTTGTATAAAAATACTAGCTATTCTTATGACATTATCCAGTTATTTTTCTTTGTTATGAAAGTTATAAATATGAGTTAAAAAAGACAACCTAGAAAGATGGGCAAGTGACTTGGAAAGATATCTACAAAAAAACCCAAAAAACAAAAAAACATGTAAAATTGCATTCAACCTCCTTGGTACTCAGAAATGCAAATCAAACAGAATGAAAAACTCATATATACCCCAGAATGACTAAAATTTTAAAGACTCAGAATAAACAATGAAAAGACATGAAGCAAAAAGAAAGTCATGCAGCTGGTGGAAATATATTTTTGAAATGTTTGGCACTATAACTATTTATTCAAGTAGAGGAAAAACATAATCTAAGACTCAGCAATTTTACTTCTAGACAAACACCTAACAGAAATGTATATATACATGCATTAAGAGACATGGACTCTGTGTACACAAGAATGGGATCTTAATTAGAAAAAGTTATACTCCATGTATGTATAATGTGTCAAAATATACTCTACTGTCATGTATACCTAAAAAGAAAAAAAAAAAGGAAACGTGGACTACAAATGCTCAAAGCAGCTTTGAGTGGGAAGAGCCCCACACTGGAAACACTTAATATATTATATTGTTAATATAATATCTATTAACAATAGAAAGAATAAACTGGTATATTTGTCAAATAAACATTTCAGGGAAAAAGGATGTGTTATAGCTATAGGCAACATAGATGAACCTCACAGACATAATGTTAAATGAAAGAACCCAGTAAAAAGATTTTGGTAAGATTTCATTTATTGTGGAGCTCAAAAATTTTACAAAAATAAACTAGTGTTTAGATATCCAAGTTTAGTAAATAAACTGTTTAAAGAATAAATGTCAGGATAGCAGTTACTGGCAGAAGGGAGTAGAGGGAAAGGTTAGCAATTAGGGAGAGGATAAAAGGTAATTTCTAGGGTGCAGGCAGTGACAATGTGGACATTTTAAGATAAATCTTGTATAAATGCAATTTCGTTACATTTCTGTTAGATTTAATAATCAAAAGTTATTAAAAAGCAAATACCCAAAACTTTGGAACTCTTTGGAAAATAATTTAATTTGAAAGATGGGTTAGTTACATGTTTCAAATTCCATTCTCTCACAGGTAAAAGAGAAATCACTTTGTTGTTGGACAAGTTTTAATGGAATAACTTTGTTTCACTATTTGTAGTTAGTGCCATATAAACATGGAAATAAACTGACCACAGATTTTAAAGCAGAGACTGTGTGCAAGCAAGAGAGGGAACACGATACTAAATACCTTTAATTGCTAAGATTGGAAACATGTTGAATCTGGGAAAAATAAAGCTTTGTGGGTTCAGGTTGGCAATGGCAGTGTCCCTCAGTCTCTGAGCCACTCACCCCCTTTTCTTGAAGGATAACGCATGCTCACAGTTGAGTCCATGCCCCTCTTTCCTTGAAGAATAATACATGTTCACAGCTAAGTAGCTCTCTAGGTCAATTTCCAGCCTACAGAATTCCAGTAATCAGAAAGCATTTCTTCACTTCATTTTTTCCCTTTCAGTCTAAACCAACTATGTCTGTGCCAAGGTGGCTGACTGGGTCTGTATCACACGTAATCTTTTCACAAACAGGTTTGCTAGCCACAAAATTGGCCCTGTCTGCAGAGCATGCTATCCAGATAGGCTAAGAATTTTCCAAATCAAGTGCTGGGTTCTTTAGCAGTTCCTTCTTCAATTTCTCATTCCTCTCACATTACATCATAAGCAACAAAATCAGGCTGCATCTTTCACACTTCTGCTTGGAAATTTCCTCAGCTAAATATCCAAGTTCATCACTTACATAGTCAATTCTCCTTCTAATATAGAACATAATTCAGTCAAGTTCTGTCACTTTTATAACAAAGGTCACCTGTCCCTTAGTGTCCAATAAATGTTCCTCTGTGTGACTGGGGCTGCACCAGAGTGCTTTTAATGTTCATACTTTCAGCAACATTCTCTTCCTAATAATTGACATGTTTTATGGAATGAATCTTCCTCTATAACTCTCCTCTCTTCTGAGCATTCACTAGAAGCACCTTCAGTGTTTACAGTTCTATAAAGTTTCTTCAAGGCAATCTAAGCTTTTTCTATTAAGCACCTTAAACTTTTGTCTCTCTCCATTTCCCAATTCCAAAGCCACTTAAACATTCTGAAGTATTTGTTCCAGTGTTTGTTTTGTCCTACTTCCCGGTCTTAAAATCTGTATTAGGCTTCTAGGGCTGCAAAATAATATACCACAAACTGGGTGGCCTTAAGAACATAGGAATATGTATAGTTTTTACAATTTTGGAGGTTCAGAAGTCCAAAATCAAGATGTCAGTTGGGCTACACTCTCTCCAAAGGATCTAGGGGAGGATCCTTCCTTGCCTCTTTCCAGTTTCTAATAGCTGCTGATAACCTGCGTCTTTTCTTGACTTATATATAGATGCATCACTCTACAATACCAGCCTCCATCAACACATGTCCTTCTCCCTACTTACTGTGTCTTCACCATTCTATTGTCTGTGTCCAAATTTCCCTTATTTAGTAATGATATCATCCACTGGAGTTAGGGGCTACCCTAATCATGACCTCATCTTACAGACATCTACAAAGACATTATTTCTAAATAAGGTCATATTCATGGGTACCAGAGGATAGGACTTGAGCATATCTTTTTGGAGGCAGATTTAACTCACCACATAGAAAAACTCTATATAGAGACTTTTGAGGAAATAATAACAATAATTTAGTGATCTGAACATATGCTATAAAGTCCCTGGTCTTTAGAATTCCTCCTATTGTTGTTAGAAGTTAATCTAACCTTGCCTAACTAGGATTTTTTTACATAACTTCATAATTAATCATTTTCCAAACAAAAGCATCTTTATTTAGAATGAACAAACACATGAATCTCTAACCTTTAGTGCTTCAGTAGCCTTGCGGAGTTCCTTAATAACAGATGATAAAGCTTCTGGGTTAATTCCTTGTTCACAAAGCCGTACACAAATAGACAGTGTTTCCATATCTAAGCCAGTATTCAAAATTCTTGAAATCTCAAGCAGAACTACAAAAACACATAAAGAAAACTTAAAAAAAAAAAACTTAAAGCATTTAAAAATATGTACATAGTACTTTTAATTCATATATTCTTATATAATATCAAAGAATTTGCAAACAGGATTTGGAAATCCATTCTTAATACTGATTAAAGATACTTTCCTATTTTTAAATACTCTTTTATAATAGGATTTAATTAGTCACACAACATTTATTCCATGGGAACACTATAAATATTCAATTCATTCCATTTTAAGAGTTAGTGTGATGGCGCATGACTGTAATCCCAGCGGCTTGGGAGGGTGAAGCAGCAGGATTGCAAGTTCAAAGCCAGCCCCAACAACAGTGAGGCACTAAGAAACTCAATGAGATCCTTTCTCTAGATAAAATACAAAACAGGGCCGGGCATGTGGCTCAATGGTCAAGTGCCTGAGTTCAATTCCCCATACCAAGAAAAAAAGAGTTAGGCGACTCTCCTATCTCCCCCAACAAAATAATATCTGTACACACTAACTTTATTACAATAAGAACTGCTCAGTCAGTAATGTATATATTTAAGGATTTAAGAGAGCTTGGAAAGTTTTATAACAATTGGACAGAGTAATCATATCTGTTGACACTTAACAATAAAAATAAAAGCTTGGAATTTTTTTTTTCTAGCTTTGTTCTTCCAGTACTGCAGTTTACAAAAGCATCTCTCTTTCATTCGAGAAGTACTACCACAGAGAACCCAGGTTACCAAAATGATTTTCCAGGAATTCCTTCTATTACATGATGTATACATAATAATGATTCCATTGAACTATTTAATGTTGTTTCCCAGTGTGTTTAGAATGGAAGTCAACTATTAACATAATCTATTGTTTATCATTTCCCTTTGCATCATGCTTAGAAAGTTATTCCCCATGAAACAATTGTATTCACCAGTATTTTCTTCCATTCCATAAACATTTAAATATTTAATTCCCTGGAGTTTGGGTAGAAGATAGGACCTAACTTTGCTTCCAGAAATAAGCCAACTGCCACAATACCATTTATTAAATGATCTTTCATTTTATCACTCAACTGAGATGCCACCTTTATCACACAGTAAATATCCTACATATCTGATACATGTTTGGCTTATCCCAGAGACACAATTTTGATTACTAATTTGATATTGCATGTAGTAGGTTAAAGATTCCTGTCACCTTTCAGGTGCTTAAAATAAGCCCTCTTATTCTCTAGAATTTTTCATCCATTTCAAAAACAAATTCCATTTAAATAGTTATCTGAATTCCATGAAAACTACTAATTATAAGAACAAATTAACAATATTTGTTCACCTACTAATTTAAGTCTAAGTACTGAAAATGTTTCGAGTATTCATAATGTTCATGGTAATGGATCCTTCCCACTTTTTCATATCAGACATTCATTTTCATCTCTAGAAGCCAGAGTCTTAAAAATACTGTTAGCTGAGTGAGGTGGTACACATCTATAATCCCAATTACTCAAAGGCTGAGGTAAGACCACAAGTGCAAGCCTATCCTGGGAAATTCAGTGAAAACCTGTCTGAAAATGAAATTTTAAGTCGGGTATAGTGGTAAATGCCTGTGATCCAAGTGACTCAGGAGGCTGAAGCAGGAAGATCACAAGTTCAAGACCAGTTTTACAAACTTAGCAAGACCCTGTTTCAAACTGAAAAGGACTAGTGATGGAGCTCAGTGGTAGATCACTCATGGGTTCAATCTCCAGTACCAACAACAATTTTTAACAAGGACTAGGGAAGTAGCTCAGTGGTAAAGCCCACTTGCCTAGCATGCATGAGGTCCTGAGTTCAGTCCCCACTAATTCAAAACATCTGCATATCTGTATGTCTTCCATGTCTCTATTACACTTTTTGAACAAGGACAGTTCTAATACTTTTGTATTTTAACATCTGTGTCATTTCTATCTGTGTTAACTGATTTTTTTTCCCCAATGAGCCATACTACTTTGCTTATGTGGCAATCTTCAATTAGATATCACAAGTTGAGAATTTTCTTGGGTGCTAGGTATTTTTTGATTTCCATATATATCCTTGAATTTTGTAATGAAAGTTATCCAGAAACAATCTGATCCTTTCAGGCCGTACTTTTCAGATCTGTTAGGCAGAACCAGAGCCCTATTTAGTGTAGAGCCAATTATTCCCCACTACTGGGACAAGACTTTCCCAAGAACTCTACCCGGTGTTTCACAAACGGTTTTCATTCTGACTGACAGAATGGCACTATGCCTACACCCTGTGTGAGCATGGTATACTGTTCTCTCAAACCTTTTGGATAGTTCTTTCCCTAACTTTCTGTGTGCCCCCACCCCACCCCACCAAGTACTACTCAATGCTCTGTTGAATATAAAAGGGTATTCTTCTCCAGATCTCAGAATTCTCTTTGGGTTCTTCCTTTTCAGGTACTCTGTTCTGCAGCATGGGAAATCCAGGTAAACCCCAGTAGATGCCTGTGTTCAGCTTGCAATCAGGGAGATAAGCTGTGTACCAGGCTGCAGAGAGGCCTGGAAAACTCTCTGAAGGTAATCTGCAATGGACAGCTTACTTCATTTGTGTGCTGTCCTTCAGGGACTACTGTCCTTTGATGCCTAAGGTCCAGTGTCTTGAAAACCTTTGTCCTGTATGTTTTACCTGTGTTTTGTTCAAGGAAAGTAAATTGTTACTCTGTGGTGAAAACTGATGGCCGTTCCTATTTTCATTTCTTCAGCTTTGATTGTCCTATTTACTAATACTTTAACCATTTATTATCTTATTGCTGGTGTTCTTGTCTTTATTTAAGGCTATATTCTTAATGTGTTTTTGAGACTGAGCCATAATCTGCTTCCCTAAGAGTGGTTAGAAATGTAATTTCTAGAGACAGACTACTTGGGTTCTAGGTAGACAGACTACCTAGCTTTATTACTAGATAAGTAATTTATTACTAGGAAAGTGTATTTATTTTACCACTGCATTAAATGCAGGTAATAAGACTTTATAGAATTAGGGTTAGGATTAACGGATACACTTTAGGATGCAGCTAGGCATATGGTAGTGCTCAAAAAAGGGCTAGCTATTACTAGCACACTATCATTTTAATTTTCCATTTTAGTTGTTTTCCACCTCTTAGGTTCTATCATTCTTGACTGTAAAAATTCATTTTTTTATAGGGAATTTCTCTTGTACATCCTGGGTTGCTGATATGTTCTCAGATAGTCTCACCCTGTGTCAGCCCTCTGGATTAGGCCTTGTAGAAGAATCTTGGCTCTAGACCCAGAAAACAAATGGGTGGTGCTTCTCAGTCACTGGCCATGGCAGATGGTACATTTCTGATTCCAGGTTTGCTCAGGCAAGCCCGCATGCTTTCTCAGGTTCTATTCCGAATACCCTGCTGTGGTTCCCATCTGCTCCTTTCTTTTGGGAAAACCTCTCTAATCAATGGAGACTTCCTTTTCTTGTTTTTGAATATGGCTATACTGATAATTATATTACCTTATTATTTTCTATCATTTTCATACACTTGATGTAGAAAATTTCCGCAAGTGTTCAACTGACATACTGAATCTTCACTTTCTGTAAGTTTTATTTTTGACTGTTCTCACAAATGGATTCTACTTCCATTTTTGTTTTTTTGTTTATTTTATGAACCTTGTTTATTCCCTCTGGATATATGGGGATATTACAATTTTTATTTTATAGCCAGTTACTGTAACAAAGTCTACTGAAGTTTCTAACAAATTTTCAATTCTTATATTTTCTAGTCAGATCACTTCACCTACAAATAAGTTTCATCTTCTTTTTAATCATCATTTTTCATGCTATTTGTCAAATTCTTAAAATTAGTATATTTTTACAAAACAATGAAAGCAAGTGTTTCCAATTTTATTTGAAATGCATGTAACAATAGCATTAAGGATGGAGTTGGTTTTTTATAGTTATCTGTAATTAACCATATTAAAAATGTAACATTTTCTTGTTAGGATTTTTTTGTATTAAGCAAGCCTGCATTTTATCTAGGGGTACACGCTGCCCCATTTCTCATTGTTGTTTGCTATAAACACACTTGAGAAGTACCCAAGGAAAAGAGTACTGTATTTATGGCCTTGCATTCTTGGTTTACAGATCAAGAATGTGCAGATATGCTTAGGGCCCCCAGTAAACTGTATTTTCCAAAAATGACACTGTACTGACTTTCAAGGCAAGGTTTAAAAAGGCAATTTAGCTTCCTCCTGGCTCTTTGAGTCACTTTCCCTTGAAACCATCCACCAAGTATGAGGGAACCTCATGTTTAGACCACAGCCCCTGCTGAGGGTCAGCATGATATTCAGCATCACTTAGAAGGTAAATTAACGAGGAGGTTTTGGGATGACTGTTGACTTAGCTTCTGTCTAAATGAAATCCATGAGACCCTCAATCATAACTATCATGATTAATCTGGTCAACACCTAAAACTGTGAGAGAGAAATCTGTTTTATGGGGTGGTTTGTTTTGCAGCAACAGATAACTAGAACAGATACTCAGATCCTACTCCAACTGTATCATCACCATCATCATCATAATTAACTGTTCCTGACAAATTTTCCTCTTTCCCGTTTGTTTTCTTTATGGTAGACTCCCTACATATAAATGCTATACTTATTTTTGACTTTATAACTTTGTGACTCCCTACCTATAAATGCTATACTTATTTTTGACTTTATAACTTTGTTGATGTTTTCCTCTTCTGCCTTTACTCATTCTTTCATATAATTCTATATTGTCTTTTGAATTCATCTCAGTTTTAATTATTTCTTTCTTTAAGCTTTGGTCTGTTTTTAAATTGACATTGATCTTTACTTTGTATTGACACAAGCTGTTTGTAAACATTAATTATTTCCTTAAGGAAATAGCCTACTGTGTAATTAGTACCACATGCACATCACCCTATTATGCTACTGCTTGAAAGATAATTGTGCAGACAGAGATTCTAATCCTCACAGACATTATGGTCTAGGAGAGATAGGTATTAAAATAACTGACTGCTAGAGTTTGAATGTGTTTCCCAAAATTCATAGGTAAGGCACTTGATCCCCAATGCAACAGCATTGAGAGGTAGGACATTTAAGAGGTGACTAAACCATGAGGGCTCTGTCCTCAGGAATGGATTAATGTCATCACTCCAGGAGTGGTTTAGTTATCCCTTGGGAGAGGGTTCCTGTTAAAGGATGAATCACCCCCAACCCCTTGTACAGTGTACTCTTGTTCTTTCACCTTCCACATGAGATGATGCAGCAAGAAGGCCCTTGACAGTTGCAAGCCCCTCAACTTTGGACTTTCCAGCCTCTGAAACTGCAAGAAATAAATCTCTGCTGTTTACAAATTACCCAGTCTCAGATATTCTGGTATAGTATCTCAAGACAGACTAAGATTCCAGTTCTAAGTAAAATAATAGAAAACAACATAATCCTGTAATGAATTACAAGAGCATCTTGCCAAGTTTGGAAGGACAGTGTTTCAGAAAGACTGGTCTAAAGAAGTAATAATCTTAAGATTCCAGAAATGAACAGAAATCAACCAGAGGCAGGCAGAAGAATAAAAACTGATAGCAGGGCTGATGTTGTAGCTCAGTGGTAAAGTGCTCACCTAGCACTCATGAGGCACTGGATTCAATCCTCAGCACCACATAAAAATAAAATAAAGATATTGTGTCCACCTAAAACTAATAATAATAATAATAATAAATTTGAAAATGATATCAAAGAACACAGCTTATAAATTCACATACCTGAATAGCTAGTGTGAAGTCAAATGTTATTAACAGACTAAATGGGTGTAAAATAGGAGATAAGGGAGATATGCAAATCCACTAAGAACCTATTAAAGATTTTAGAACTTTAGGAAGGTATTGGAAGATATAATATGTGCAGAAAAATTATAAGGACTACCTGCTTCCTCCCAAGTTTGAAGTATCCTTAACAAAATCCTTTCATTTCATGATTAAAATGAAAATTTTTACTGCTGGGTTCTGCAACCCTTGCCAATCACTGACATCTATTAAAGGTTTAAATCACTGTAAACTGATTAATGTATGAAAAGGAGGAAGAAGGTGAAGAGAAATGTACTAGGTCTTGAGGGAAGATACAGTAGCTGCTATTGAGGGAAACAGCAATCAAAAAAACTCTGGTCTTTTCTTTTATATGTTCTTTCACTCTTTATTATCTTCATTTTACATTAATTCTCTTAGGAAAGACCTTGATGATGCAAACTATTAGTTCTCATTTGTGCATCCACATTTCCACCAGACATAAAATAGCAGTTCTTCATTCATATGGGATCCTACAGCTATATAAATAAGGACCCTAAACATAGGTAATGTGAGAAAATTGGCTAGAAGCAAGGCCTCATACTTCTTGCCCTATTCCAAAAATACACTAGCTCCCAAGGAAAGATACAATGTGGTAATGTTATATACATACCAATCCCTTATGTACATAAAGTCACTTCCAAAATAAAACTAATAATCTGTGAGGCACAAGAAGGATGAAAAAATAAGCTGATAGGATGTTAAGAATGAGAGTCTCATTAAAACAGCAAAGGAGTGGTTAGGCAAAAAAAAAAAAAAAAAAAAAAATTAGATGCAAATGCTCTATTAGTATAAACAATTATTTGAAAAGGAAAGCAGCAGTCACTGAAGAAAAATCCAGAAGCTTTTATCAGAAGCTCCCATTTGGAGGGGCTATATAAGAACTTCAGTGAAGGAGACAGGGCAGAATGGCTGACAAACCTAGTGAGAATTCTACAGAATTATATTCTAACAGAGTAGGAGACTGTTATGGGTAGCTCCTGGAAAATGTCAAGACGAACTATAATTCGCAATATTTAACATTCCTCAAAACACATTTAGAAGGTTTGGAGTAAAAACAGATAAAGCTAATTGCATGCCTTTACCTAGTTGTCTTATTTAATATTCACAATCATCCTTGGGAGGTAGGGTTTTATTTTACTGGGTGAAAACAAAGTAGCCTAACCAAGTTCACTCCAGAAATACTAGTGGTAGAGAAGGTTAACTCGAAGACACCTTTTTCGTCTATACATGTGTGCAGGCTCTATGCCCACATGCCTCAGGCGGGGCGCGATAACGGGAAACGATAGCCACAGCACCCGGCACCGGCGTCATCTGCTCCAAAATTAACTGGAGAAATTACCATGAAGGGGCGCCTTGTTCATTCGCCGGATACTTAAACAGCGCCTACTGAAGTGCCACGGGCATGAAACAGAGCAGTGACTGCACACCCCCTACTCCTATCCTGGGGGTTTCCAGTTCCGCCGGCTTCCAGAGCGCTCCGACTGCGCGATGTAAAGGTGCCGGGGGCGGGCGGGCGCGGGAGGACAGAAGCGGGTCGCGCGAGACGTGGGACGCAAAGGCGCGGTCCTCGAGGTCTCAGGAGCGCAACCGGCAGACGCGAGGGCCAGAACGCCGTGCGCGCGACAAACTACACCGGAGCCGAGAGACAACTCTCAAGGGATGGGCCATCAGCTATGCGGTGCTAGCGGGTCCCTTCGTGGACCTTCAAAGATGCCGTTTTGGGCTGGAAGAAGACCGCACGCCCTCTTCGTGCTCCCCAATCCTGGGGGCCTTGGCTGCGGGAAGTGGAAGCAAGGAAGAGGGAGCGCAACGGGCACTCACCATCCATGGTCTCCCTCACCGCATTCAGATTCGCCGCCGCGGTCGCCGACGACCCGGCGCCGCTGCCACTCGCCATGGCGGAGGCTGAGGGAGGCGGAGGCTGAGGGAGGCGGGAGAAGGGCCTGACCCGGAACTGGAGCGCCTTCCTTTCTCCTGGGCAATCACAGCGCGCGTCGGGGCACACGCTGGAAAGGCTCCGCCCCTCGTGCTCGTCGCCAACGTGAGGTTGCGTTGATTTGAATTTGGAGCCTCGTTACTTAGCGCGGAATGAAGAGCGAGGAGTTGCCTTTCGAATTTACTCCGGCGCCTCGGTACGATTGGCTGGTTCGCGGACAGCGGTGCTACGCCATTGGCCAGTGGGCCCCCAGCCCCGTGCCCTGGTTGGCCTAAGACAGCGCGGAAGCGGGGAGTTAAAGAGTCTGACTGTCGTGGGAGCTGGCTGGGCCCCCTGGGAGCCCCCTGGAGTGGATATTTGGGGCTTCCTTTTTGTACACACCTTTAGGTACGTTCTTGTGACTCCCAGCCTTTCCTCCTGTCTCGAATTGGAGAGCTCAGTTTCCCAGCTCCAGACCTGGCCCTCCACCCACCCCGTGGAGGAATGGGAGCAGTGGGGGAGTACGTGTCGAAGAGAGGGGCGCTCTGAGTAATCTAGGACTAGGGTGACACTCCACTGCTCTTCACCCAAGGAAGCCAGCGTTATTTCAGTCTTTAAGAACTAGATTCTTCTTTTTCTCTGGTGCTCGCACCCTATGACTGGAAGTAATGCAGTCGCGCTTACTCTCTCGAGGTGGGGGGGGGGGGTGGTGGTAAAAGGAGATGTTTGGGGAATGGCAACCAGAGGCAGTTAATTCCCTGGATCCTATCAGTCATACTTCTCTTTTCACAGGCTAATGTGCAAGAAGGGCACCCATGCGCCAGCTTCCTCATTTCTTATTTGCTTGCTACTAGGAATTGTTTAATAATAACTGCAGTTTGATAGGGGATTGCATGAGGTAATTAATAAAAAACTACCGATGGAAGCCCGTTAGTCGAAAAGTATTTGTGCCTATTGTAATATTTAGTTGCCTCAAAGTCGATTCTGGACTCGTATTTGCCTTACTGTACAACAAAATGATAGCACTGATATTTTACTTGTAACAAGATTATGTCAAGGATCACTCGAGAAAGTGTGATGTTTCTTGTACAAACTATGAGTGTTAGGTTTGAAGCTAATTCTTTTTGTGAAATGTGTGTGCGCTGACCACATTTTAATTGTCAGAATTAACATGTATGATACTTTGTGATTTTAATACGTATACTTCTGGTTTCTTTGTAGTTTGTTTTCTGTGCTATGGGAGATGTCAAAGAATTAAAAATGCAAATAACACCCGAAACTCCAGGAAGGATCCCTGTTTTAAATCCTTTTGAAAGTCCTGGTGATTACTCTAATCTCCATGAACAAACTCTTGCCAGTCCTTCTGTTTTTAAATCCACAAAATTACCAGTAAGTTATTCTTAACTAGAATTTACAATTATATTTAAATGTAAATATCTTCTACAAAGTAAGGAGAAAGTACATTATGGAACATATATAGCTGCAGTGTGCTTTTTAAATTGTAGTGTTCACTATAATCTAGTGGTTAGGCTAATAATAAGTTAGGTAGACAAATTTGCAGTTAGCACTTGCTTTTTAAAAATTAATTTTTAAAATTAATGTGGTATATATACACAATGAAGTTTTATTCAGCCATAAAGAAGCATGGGATTATGTCATTTGCAGGGAAATGGATAAAACTTCAGAACATTTTGTTAAGTGAAATTAGCCAAACTCACAAAGTCAAGGGTCCTAGGTTTTCTCTCATATGTAGAAACTAAAAAGGAAAAGAAAGGTGGTAAGTTTCTTATAAAAATTGAAGGGAGATCATTATAGTAGAGGAAAGGGACCAGGGGGAAAGAAAGGGGAAATACTAGGGAATGATATTGGCCAAATTATACTGTATTTTATTGTGTGCATGTACAGATATAGAACAATGAATCCCACCATTATATATTCACCAATAAAAATAGGGAATAAAGAAAAAAATTAAATTTACTTAAATTTGTTTTGTTTTGTTTTGTTTTGGTATCTGGGCTTGAACCCAGGGGTACTTAACCACTGAGCCACATCCCTAGCCCTTTTAATTTTTTATTTTGAGATAGGGGCCTGGCTACTTGCTTAGGCCTTCACTAAGTTGCTGAGGCTGGCTTTGAATTTGTGATTCTTCTGCTTCAGCCTCCCAAGTCACTGGGATTATAGGCATGTGCCACCGTGCCTGGTTTAAATTAATTTTTAATTGATACCTAAAAATTGTACACAAGTGAAATTTGGGTACATGCATATGTTGTGTAATGTTTCAATCAGAATAAACATCCATCTCAAACGTTTTTTATGTCTATGGCAAAAACATAAAATCTTAGCTTTTTGAAATAAAGTACATAATTGTTGTCTATAGTCACACTATTGGGCAATAGCACATCAGAATTTCTTACTCCTATCTAACTAGCATTTGTTTTTTTTTTCAATAATTCAAGAAATAACTTTAGCATTCTGTCATTGTATGCGTAACTAGATACTGTGGCTGATGATATATCTACTAATATTGTATTAGAGAATACAATATTAGTTTTTTAATTTTCTAATTAAAATTTTCTAATTACCTATCTAAATTGTTAAAGAAACAAGATTTGAGTGCTGCTTTGTATCAGATCCATTGCTTAGCATAGGTGTTACACAGTGTATAAGTTAGAATCATTAGGTATAAACCCCTGGTGAGCTCCTCCTCCTCCAATACAGCAAACAGCAAACTTTCTGTAAAGGGTTGGACAGGAAATATTTAGGCTTTGCAGATCATCTGGTCATTGTCAAACTACTCACCTCTGCCTTGAATCAAAAAAGCAGCCATGGGCAATGTGTGAAATAAATGAATGCTAGCTGTGTTCTAATAAAGCTTTATTTGTAGACTGAAATTTGAATTTCATTTAATTTTTATGTTGTGATGTTTAATATTGTTTTGAGTTTAACCATTTAAAAATGTTCTTAGCTTCTATGCTGTGATAAAAAGAAACCAACTCCTATGCTAATTGAATAGATTCAACTGAATGAGCAGTTTCAAAGCAGTGTGATATGTGCCATGATTAGCAGTTAGCATGAAGGAGATGTGAAAGGGAAAATGCTACTTAGATTAGAGAAGACTTCATTCCTTTAGTTTGTTTTTATGGTTATTTGCTACACTGGAAAAGTTTTTTTGAAGTCTGTTATCCTAGTTAGTTACCTAGAAAAACTGCAAACCAAGTGATTGTTTCTATTGTACTTTCATATCAGCTTGGGCAGTGAACAGGTGTGTACTTGAGGAAAGTCAGGCCATGTTACAGTTCAGATGGAATCATCTCATTAATTTGACCTTGTGATTTTTAATTGAATCATGTTAAAACTTAGTCATCTTTTGATCTTAATTAAAGTAAGTAATGGAATGACTAATTTAATTCTCAAAGCTAGAATGTATAGTATCTTGAGTTTTTAGACCTGAGTTCATCTAGAATTATTAGTTCCAAAATTAGGATTTGGATAAGCTTTTGAATCAGTTGGATAGTTGAATACAGAGAAGCACTAGTTGCAACTAATATAATTCGAAGGATCAACTATTTTGTGAGCTTTTGTAGCTGCTCCTGTTTCAGTTCATTCTTAGTGAAAATAAAGATCTTTGATAACTCTGAGAGATTTTAATATTTATATGGGCATGGTGTACCACTGTTGAGTATTAATTGTGGAGTTGCTATATCTTTGCTACACAATTGTGATTCTTCTAGTTTTATGTAATTTTTTAAATCACTCCATGGAAAATTTTGATATTTTAAGAGATATTGCCAAGCCAGTTGATTTAATATGAGTTGATTATCATTTGCCATTTAGTGGTAAAGTCAAAATTTCTTTTTAAATTTTTTTATAGTTGTAGGTAGATAACATGCCTTTATTTTGTTTGTTTTTAATTTTTTGTGGTGCTAAGGATCAAACCCAGTGACTCTCACATGCTAGACAAGTGCTCTGCCACTGAGCTATAGCCCTAGCCCTAAAGTCAAAATTTTAAATAGAAGCTCTTTATAGCATTCACATTAATTTTGAAGGTGACATTGGTTAGCATTTTGATAAACTATTTTAGTTTTCTATTACTCATGAGCTCACTTTCTTCTGTTAAGACTCCAGGGAAATTTAGGTGGTCTATTGATCAACTAGCTGTAATAAATCCTGTAGAAATAGATGCAGAAGAGATTGATCGCCAAGCTTCATACTTAAGTCATTCTCGGTAAGTTTTCCGTTTTTGTACTTAAGTGTAATAGCATAATGTTAAGTGAAGAGAGAGAGGAAATTTTAGAGGCTGAGTATTTGTGTATGTAAAGATATCCAGGAAGAAAACATACTGATGGGGATTTTTTTCCTATCTAAAAATGAGTGAGTTTGAAGAACTGTATCTCAAAGGATTCCCTGGATAGGAATTTTTTTAGAGATAAACTTCTGGCTCTGCTACTTAGGGGACTTGATAGAGAGGAGGGAATTTTTCAAATTTGTAATTTTCTCCATGATTTTTACTTCTGACTTGTTTTTTAATGCTGTGATAAAGCAAAATTCTGTTTAGTTGTGATATATGTTTGGTGAAGCCTAAAACCTCCTTAACAGGTTAAGACACTTTGAATGGAAGAGTATGCATTAGCAACAGAGAGCTTTCTGACTTAATCGTTCACTGTGGGGATCTGAATTACATTTCCTTGGCTTCTTCGTAATACTGGAGCAGTCTTAACTTCTTTGTGGATGTGTTGTAAAGGTTTCAAGGCTTCAGACTTGTGCTTCTTTAGGGAAACAGCTAGTTTTTATTACAAATAGGTATTTAGAGTGTGAAGACCTCTTGTTTTATAGTTTGTTTGGTTTTTTGTATTTGAAAAACCAGATACATGGTATGACCACCTTTTAATTTTCTTTTATACGATAGATGTGTTGTTCATCCAAAACAATGGGATTCTTTTCCTTTTGACTCTAGGATTCATTCACACCAAGAGTCACACATGTTGAGATATTCTTACAAATACTTGTTTGGCTTTTCTACCTAATGCTTTCTGCTTGGTAAATTGATAACTAACTGTTCATTCAAAATTAATTAATGCCCATTTTTTATAGGAAGACTATATATAGAAGGGAGATAAATTTTTTTTATTTATTTATTTTTGCATTACAATTCTTAACACACCATTATACAATAATTTATCATATCTCTGATTATATATAAGGTATGTTGACACCAAATTCACATCTTCATACATGTATTTTGTATAATGATGAGGGTGTCCTTAGAAGGGACATAAATTTAAAAAGGATTTTAAGTTAAATTTAATACTTTTGAAAGAGAAGGTGAAAAGAATATCTAAAAGCAAATAAATCACAATTAATAATTTGTCTCACATGAACTATATATTTTATTATTCACCTCATCTCTTTAATATAATGAATCATGACAACTTTACATCTTTCAATCAAGAGTGATTGATTTATTGAACACTCTTAGGCTCTCTAAGAAATACTGAAAAAATATATTAAGATATTATAGAATATTATTCCTGCCCCTGAACACTAACAATACAATTTAACCAAGGTTGCAGAACATCATTTCTACTATTATTTATAAATTATGTATTGGTTGGGTATGTTTATAAAAAGAATCTTGTTATATTTCAGTTTTGTGATATAGGTAGGGGGAAATATCATAATATTAATTTATTAATGTAATTCAATGAATACTTATGACTTTTACCAAGGATAGTGAAAATAGTCTTAACACAGCAAGCTGATTCATTATTAGAAGCAAGCAATGACTTCTGCTACCTTTTCTTAACTAACCAAAATATCTTTTTCAGTTCTTCCCTTCCTTTTCATCCCATAGCACATACAGAAAATGATAATTATAAGGCTTACTGGTACAATCAAATAAGTCTTGTCCAGATAGAAGGTGACCAGTCCTGAAGGTCTCCTCTCTTTTCCCTATTGCAAGGATCAACATTCAGAGTACACATGCTACCTTCATACATCATACCAGTATTCATTGTTTGCTGGTTAGGATACTTTGCCCTATATGACTTCTTAGGGCCTGCCATCACCTGGCACTACAATATTTTACTACTTTTAGCAATCAGCTGAATATTTTAAGTTCTTGAAATCCCTCTGATGAAACAGCAAAAAGTTTCTGAATGAGGTAAAGCTAGATTAGGGCTTCCTGGATGCTAAGAATATTATGCACTGTCATTTTGACCTGTTGTGACCATGATCAGATGAAGAAAACTGAGTCATTATCCTCAAAATGGCTGTTGTTCAAACTGGGATATGTAGATTTTCACCGTAATTTATATTCTCAGAATTCTCTTACTTGAAAAATCCATTTGATTTAAATTTCTGCAATGTGTATATTCTTGTACAGCTTTGTTAAACTGATAACTAATACATACATAAATAGTTTCTTAGAGAAAATAATTTGAAATTGTTGTAAAAAAAATGCTGTACCAATTTATGGATGGAATGCAAGCATTCTTTCCTGGAACATAATAAAGAAGTGGTCCCATGAGGCTAACTGCCTATTGCTTGGCAAGTATATGCCTTATGCTTGAGACCCAACATTTTATATTAAGTCATGTAGCTGAGAAGTTTGTGTTGCTATAATTCCATATTGTGTCAAAGTTAAACAAAATAATTGATTTGAACAAAATTTTACATTGTTGCTGTCTTATTTCAAAATTAATATTTTTGCCTGTTTATTTAGAATTCTTAGGATGATAGTTTCTTCTATTTCAGAGTAAAAGTTTATCTTAAAATAACTAAATATAAAAATATGATAAACTGCCTATAAAAGGAATTTGAACAATTTTTAGATTTCTGTCAAATGAAATGCTTATTGATTTGTGTTGATTAAAAGGCAGACTTTCTTCAAATTACTTTGTTGTTGATAGTGATTTAAATGTATTAATGTAAATCTTTTCAAAGAAACTATAATTCCGTTCAAACTTTGAATGAAAAAGAGGAAGGTAAGCCTAATGGCTAAATGCTGGATGTCAGAATACTTCCATTAACTAAATGCTATAAGATATCAATTTTTCTTTTAAAATGAGCCTAACATTTATTTGCCCATTTTCAATGGAGGGAAATTATTTCTTTGAAAGGTTATTATTTTAAATGTTCACTAAGCTTAAGTAATGGCCTGGTTATTTTTCTTCCTTATCTCTGTATAGAATAGATAAAGATGTGGAAGACAAAAGACAAAAAGCCATTGAAGAGGTAATTTACAATTGCTACTGATTAAGCCAGTTAAGGATGAGTTCTGCATGTGTGTCTTCAAATCCTTCACTGTCCCCTCTTGCTCCCTGCCAAACCTCCCATTCCCTGACCTCAACTGTGTTGAGCATCCTTCTATGCTCTTATAAGACCAGTGATTTTCAGCTATCTCCGTAACTCTTAAGACTCAAATACAATTGCAGTGACAGCCTACTGCTTCTCTCCCTATTTTTTTTTTTTTAGGCAAATATTGTGCTTTATCATCTTTTCATTCTCAGAACCTAGCACAATTTGTCTTTCTTGTGCCTTCAGAATATTGATTAGCACAAAGTTCTGTTTCAAGTTGGAATTTATTTAAAGGAAGTTGAGTGTATTTAGTCCTTCAAAATCTAGATTGGATTAGGTAGTTTTATCCTTTTTGGTGGAGTGTGGGTACTAGGGATTGAACTCAAGGGCACTCAACCACTGACCCACATCCCCAGCCCTATTTATTTATTTATTTAGAGACAAAGTCTCAATGAGTTGCTTAGTACCTCCCTTTTGCTGAGGCTGGCTTTGAACTCACAATCATCTTGGCTCATCCTCCCAAACCATTGAGATTACAGGAGTGCGCCACTGTGCCCATCTATGTTTTATCTTTTGTTGTTGTTAATATTAATACTTTTAAGACATAGAATATATTCCATGAAATAAAGTGACTGCTAAATATAAATGAAAGGGTTTTTGTTTGTTTGTTTGTTTAGTAAAAATGATGAACTAAGTTTTTCATCTTTTGCTTTTTTGTTTGCTGAATTACTTCTCTTAAGGTGTAAGTAAGGGTTATCTATCTAGTTCTTTCCTCAGAAAGTCTTTGTATTGTGGCAGTATTTCTGGTTTTTTCTTTTATCCCCTTTTTCTCTCTGTAGCCTCCTCCCTGCTCCTCTACTTCTTAGCTATACTTGGCTCTTCTACACCCCAGAAGACCTGCTATGGCATGTTCATAGGTCACGTGGTGAACTGGCCTCTCTGGCACTAATTTTTTCTAGTATAGGTACTATCCCTTTTATTTCAGATTATTAACTATTTTTTAGAAAACAATTTAATATTAACTCCTGCCAAACATCCTTACCTAAAATTCTAATATTTTCAGTGTGAAAAATCACTTAATTCACCCCCAGCTTAATATTCTTAGACTCTTCCTAATTTTCCAATATTTTGGAAAATACATTTTCTTTTTAGAAAACTTGCAGTTCTTTTAAAGAGAAAATTATCAGACAAAACTTAAGGAAATGTATTTAGAGTAAAGATTGGGGTTAGTATATCAGAAACAAATTAATTTTTTATTTTTAACATTTTTAAAAACAGTTACTTATATGTACATGGTTAAAAAAATTTCAAAAGCAAAGAAAAATATAAAATGAAAATAAAAACCTCTTGTTCCCCCATCACCTCTGAAGGCAACTGCTATTAACATTTCATGTGTATGATTTGAGATTAATTTTATATATATTTTAACATATGTAATTTAAATGTTTTAGACAAATTGGTTCATCCTTTGCATACTGTTTTGCATCTTGCTCTTTTTGCTTAATAATCTTTTAAAATATTTTTTATAATTAGCACATATAGATTTTTATATTCTTTTAGTAACAACTTAATAACGTAGCTATTATTGATAGATATTTAAGATGTGTTCATTGTCTTTGTATTGCAGTCTTGTGCAGTATAATTTGCACAACATGATTTATCCCTGTATTTTGTTTACTTGAAATGACTTGGTAACCAGAGGCTTTGTGAATTTGCAGTTTTGTTAAATTTTGCCACATTAACCTCCTAAAAGGTTGTACCAATTTAAAAACCTGGCACATTATGATGCAGTATGATATAGCTTGTTTTCTAGTCTGCAGTACTGATTAAACTTTTAAAAAATTTGCTACTATTTTTATTTTTAAAGTGACATCTTGTTATTTGGATTTGATTTTTTTTTTAGTTTTCAGCAAACTTATGTATCACTTCATAAGTTTTAGGTCCTTTGTATTTCTTTTTTTTTTTTTTGTGAATTGTCTATATCATAATCTCTGTTCCCATTCCCTTTGTTTTTACATCTTTTCCTCATATAATTATAGTTGATTAAGAAAATTAACTCTTTTCATATATATAGTAAAATTAAAAACAAAATGTTTTCTCCCCAAAGCATAGGGAAGGGGAAAATATTGCATTAGGAATGAAAAAAAGTATGTCCAAATGTTTTTTTCTCAATTTGAGTATACTACCATGATGTTAAATGTTAACAACTGACCTTCTAGTCATGGAAGGAGTACAGTTTCTAATGATTGCTGCTATTCATAGTGTAAAAACTATAACCATAGCTAATGTGAAGCTACAGATGTGACATAACTGAGTGGGAAAAGTGCAGCAGCACGCCATTGTATATAGGAATTCCACCATATAGATACAAAGTTGTAATTAACCTCAAGAGCATAGATATTGGTAAATGAAGTAAAACAATTAGCCAGTGATGGCATTTGAATATTTTTAATATAATTTATTTAATTGTAAATTTACATGGTTTTATTTTTAAATGTTGACTTTAATGATTGGTATACAAAATTCCTAAAAATTTAATAATCGGATCTTGAGAACCAGTACACACTAGCTCCGGCATTCCATTCTTACTGGCTTGTGTACCTCTATGTCCATTTGTCTTCCCTTTTAATTCTCCCTTTTAAACCCCATCCCCCTAAAAATTGGAGTAGAAATTTAAAATATTTCTCTATGCCTAATTTCCTTAGCTTAATTTACATGTTTTAAATTTAAGTGGTTGGTTTGAAATATTAAGATTTCTCTTTATAGTAAATTTGTTACATTTTACTTTTGATCATTTGTGTGTTTTTAAGTATTAAAAAGTTTAAATTACTATAGATTCAGTATATAACATGATTGATGGTTATTTAAAAATGACACAGATACCTTTTCTCATTTTGGAGAGAATTGATGTCTAATTGTATCACTTTAATTTTCCTAGTTTTTCACTAAAGATGTCATCGTACCCTCTCCTTGGACTGATCATGAAGGGAAACAGCTTTCAGAGTATCATTCCAATAAATGTGAGTGTACTAAAAATCATATGAATAAACATTATAAAATTTTAAAAAATATTAAATATCATTGAATATAAAACAACATAGTGCAGTATCAGTATATCTGCTTTGGCAAGGAACTTGCTTAAAATTAAATTTACAGATAACATGATTTAAATATTTTGAGGATAAGGGTCAAAGCTTAACTCCTTTTTTTGTTTATTTTTGGTTCTTCTATTCTAATTTAATTTTTTTATGACCATTGTGAATATGTTATAAAGGATTCATACATAGAGATAGTTGATTTTGAACATAGTTGAATTGTTAATAGCAGTGATATTAAAGGTTAATATTTTTTAATACAATTCTTAAATTGCTTTATATTTTGCCAATTTGCTGATTTCTTATAAATGTAGAGGAAGGATGAAGTCTGAAATAACCTGTGAGACAGCTTATTACAGCTAATTATTTGTAAAATTATAAAGGAAATTAAAGGACAAACCAGTGATTGTTCAAACATCTCTTTCTCCTGCCAGTGGTTACCTTATATGTGCACTCATTGTCCTTTGGGTTTTGACCAATATTCAGATATCACTGATATATATGCACCCTTCATTTCTGTGGAATTACCCACCCTCCTATGTAGGGTATCTTGTAACAGAGAATATTTTACATTCTTTATCAAAAACATAACAGTAATAAGTAAAGTGGATTGAGCACTTTCTTTGTCAGTCTAGTGACAGCTGTCAGTAATTTCTTACAATTCATATGAAGTAGGTAGAATTGTTGGCTCCACTTTATAGGTGAGAGAGCCTCATTTTTGAATGGTTAGAGCACCTGTCCTGTGTCACAGAGATGATAAATGTGACAGAACCTGGATTCAGAGCCAGGCATCTCAGATCAGATTCTGTATTCTCAGCTATTACACACTAAAGGTAGTATGTAATACTGAAGAGCTGATTATAAACCCAGTACTAAAAACCAGAGGGGTAGTCTTGATCAAATTATTCATTTTCTTTGGACTTCAATTTTTTATTTACAGAGTGAAAAGGTCACATCAGAGAGTTGTCTGATATCATCCCTCCCAACCTTAAAATTCTATTTCTAAGGTGACATTTTTAAAGACACTAGTTTTTTCTCCCAAATGTAATGATGGATTTTTTTTTGTAATATCATTTCATATTCTTGAGGATTGTGTTTTAAAGTGATAGGAAGATACAAAGATACTATAGTCTTTGATCATGATTGCACAGTGCAGTAGTTAACAGAATAGGCTCCTGAGTTGTGCTATTTAATATAGGTTATGAAACAATTCTCCAAGGGTCTCACGTTTCCATGCATCTTGCAAGGAGAGTTAGGGCAGATATTGTTCCAAATTATCTTTTCAAAGATGTTTTAGTGTGATCAGCTTTGGGAGACAGTGTGTCCCTTTATTTTGCTGTCTAGTATAATGTTGAGGATGTTTCCTTCTGGAACAGATTTGCTTATAGCCCATTATAAAAGAATGGGATTTCTTAAGTTCAAGATTACTCAGCTGTGATAAAAACTTACTGTTAACTTTCTGTTTCTTTAACAAAATACCTGAGATAATCAGCTTTTAAAGAGGAAAGATGTACTTTGGTTCACAGTTTTGAAGATTTAAGTCCATGATTGATTGGTCCTGTTGTTTTGGGTTTGCTGTGGCATAGTATGTGTCATGATTGGAGCACAGGATTAAGGAGATCTGTTCACCTCATGGCCAGGTATGAAAGGGAAGAAGAAAAGGTTCTTCTATCCCCTTCAAAGACATACTCCTACTGACTGGAAGACCTTTCAAATAAGGTCCCACCTCTTAAAAGTTCCTACTGCCTCCTAGCATGCCAAGCTGGGGACCTAGCCTTTAACACACAGGGACTTTGGACAACATTCCAGATCCAAACTATAGTATTTACTCTATGTACAAAATCCACCTGAGCTACTCCATATCATCCCTTTGGACTTGAGGTTCAAAGGAAACAGATGTGAATATTAAGCTCATGCTGCCTGCTTGGCTGAGAATAAAGTCCTTTGTCCTTGACTCAGAAGCCTTATGTCTTCAGCCAGCATCCATGGAACTTCGGCATACTAACTTGTTAGCTTGCAAGTATGGTAGAATCTTAAGATTATTTACTACTGTTGACATAAAGGTAGCCACTGGCCACTTGTGACTGTTTAAATTTGAATAAATTTCCCAATCAATACTATTCACATTGTAAGTGCTCGTAGCTGCACTTGGCTATTAGTGACTATTGGGAAGTGCAAATATAAAACATTCCCATTATCACAAAAAGTTCTGTTAGATAATACTTTAGGGCAGAGGTTGAAAACCTTTATCTGTTAAGGATCCACTGTTAAATATTTTAAGCTTTGCAAAGCACACATTCTCTGTTGCAAGCACTCACCTCTAGTTCTGTACCTTTTATCATATATAAATGAAGGAGTGTGGGTCTGTTCCAATGAGTCTATATTTGTAAAATAGGTGACAGAACAAATTGTGCCATAGACCATAATTTGTTGACTCTTCCTTTAGACTAATGTTTTGTGGATTTGAATTGTCTCTACACTAGCTATGTGACTTTAGGAAAGTTACGAAGCTTTTCTGTACTTTAGTTTCTTTATTTATAATATAATAATACTTCTAAGCTTATGTACCTATAAATGTTCAGTACCTATAAATGTACCTATAAATGCTTATTTATTTAATGATTGATAAAAGAGTGAATGGAAAGAAAGTAATTTTGTTGATACCTGTAAGGCTTGTTATCTTTTACAATATATTTATGTCAGGATGCTTTGATGTTTTTACTAAAGGGCTTGTGAGAACTATGTTACACAGGCAGGGAATTTCAGAGTTACAGGATATATAGTTACCTAGATTTGACTGCATAATGCTTGATTGCTCTCAGAATGTCTACAAGATCTGCATGGTCAGTACTACCTAGGTTTCCTATGTTCTGACTTCTCTGTCAATATTTGGCATTACCCAGTTTTTGAATTTTGCCTTATAGGTTAAGACAGTCTAAATGATTGTTGTAATTTTAATTTCATCTTTATAAATTAATCTGCCTTTTTAATTTTTTCTCCTGGAAAATACCTTTTTGTAATTCTTCAATCATATTCCTATTAGAGTTGCTATCCTTTTTCCCCCATTAGTTTTTAAGATACTTTGTATATTATAGTCATATTGGTTTTAAACATTTCAAATACCATTCTATCATAGGTATGTTTTTTTTCTTTTTCTTTTTTTCCCAGTACCAGGGATTGAACTCTCAAGGGTACTCGACCACTGAGCCACATCCCCGATCCTATTTTGTATTTTATTTAGAGATAGGGTCTCACTGAGTTGTTTAGCACCTTGCTTTTACTGAGGCTGTCTCTGAACTCACAGTCCTCCTGCCTCTGCCTGCTGAGCCACTGGGTTTTTTCTTGATTGCTTGGTTGCATAGAAGTTTTATTTTAGTATGATCATATATATATATATATATATATATATATGATCATACTAAAATATATATATATATATTTTTTTTTTCCATTTGATTGTGGTCTTAAACTGGTTTAAGTGCTTCTGAGGGAAACGACTAAGAAAGTACATGCAGTAGAGTGAAAAGTGTTGTGATAATGTTTCTGTGGGTATCTGGTTTGAGAAGGGCAGAGGAGGCTTGTTGGTAAAAGATGCAGTTGAAGCTGAGACCAGAGTTAGGGAATAGTGGAGAAAAGGTAGAGGGGAAAGACTTATGAGGCAACACCTAAAGGTGAGAGAGAGAGATATTTTTTTAAGGTACTCAAGTAAATTTTTTTTTACTTGAGTATAAATAAATTTCCCAATTTTGATTGGATTTCAGGCATGTTAGATAAATAAAGTTTTGAAGGGCTTTGCAAACCATGCAGATGTTTGGACTTCATCCTGAAACCATTACAGGATTTTAGACAGAAGAGAGTCTTTTTTCCTTTTTTCTTGATCATGCGAGGCAAATGCTCTACCATTGAATTACATCCCAGTCCCAGAGAAGAACCTTGGTTATTTAGAGAAGGTCACACTGCCTTAATGAAGATGGCATCAGAATTCATAATTTTAGTTTTTATTTTATCTTTTTGCTCATTGTGATAGTGTTTAATAGAGGAATTTAAGTCATTGGCCCACTCATCTATTCCTCATTCATGTATTTATAATTGTTAAATCTAATAATCCTAAACTAGAATCTACTGTCTTTTTTTTTTTTTTTGGTACTGGGATTGAACTCAGCAGTACTCAACCACTGAGCCACATCCCCAGCCCTATTTTGTATTTATTTAGAGACAGGATCTCATTGAGTTGCTTAGTACCTTGCTTTTGCTGAGGCTGGCTTTGAACTCGAAATCCTCCTGCCTCATTCTCCCAAACTGCCGGGATTATAGGTGTGTACCACTGCACCTGGCTAAAAATATGTTTGCACTAATATTTTTTACTCCTACTGTGAAAGAAACTGAGCATAGTGTATGTATGTGTGTGTGTACACACACACACACACACACACACACACACATATATAATGGAATACTATTTATTTACTCCTAAAAAATGAAGGAACTTATGTCATCTATAACATGAAATGAATCTACAGGACATTATACTAAGTAAAATAAGCCAGGCATAAAAAAACAGATTTCACTTATATGTGGAATCTATAAACATAAAACTCTCTAGAAAATAGAAATGGTGTGTGGGAAAGTGAGGATATTGGGGAGATAGTGATCAAAGGGCACAAACTTTCAGTTAGAAGGGCTAAGTTATAGTAAGCTATTGCACAGCAAGGCGACTATAGTTAGTTATTGTATATGCTTTAAAAAGCTGAAAGTGGATTTTAAATATTCTCACCACAAAGGAAGATGTATGTAAAGTGGTAGGTGTGTAACTTAGCCGAATTTATTCTTTCCACAATGTATACACATATCAAATATTATACTGTGCCTTAAATATACATAATTCTTATTTGTCTTTTTTTTTTTAATGAAAAAAAGTCTTACTTCATTCCTTCTTAGTTACTATGGTAATCCTTTCATTTTATCCTTTTACCTCCTCAATGTTAAAAGAAGTAACTTAACAGAAGCATGACAAAATATATACTTATAAATACAGATATTTATTCTTAAAACATTATAAAAACTTCCAATATGTAATTTTTTTTACTCTGGAAAAAGTAACACTAAAATAATTGAATGTAGATGTATGGTTTTCCATTTAAAATGTTTTACAGGCATTAACATAAATAGTGACTCTCCAGTTGGAAGAAAGCTGAGTATTCATTCTGAGAAAAGCAATGGTGAGTGTGAACACAATATGAAAAGAAATATGTTCCATATTATGGCTGCATTTGATTTTAAACCCAGTTCATGTAGTTACTCTGGAATTTAAATTGTTTGGTTTTGTGAAAGAGCTATAAAGTCTAGAGAGCTAACTTTTAAAGATGTTTTCAAACATTTGCATCCAGCAATGTTAAATGTTAAATGTTTTCAAACATTTGCATCCAGCCATGTTTTAAAATAGTAATAGTGTATTTTTACTGTTGTTGTTCAAAGCATTGATTTGATTTCTGGTTTTGGAAAGCATGCCTTTGAAAATTTGTTTTAGGAAATCTCTCCAAGTATGGGCTGGCTTTGGCTTCCCTTTGAATTCAAAGTGCCAGCACTGTAGCCAGGAGTTAACTTCTACCATTAACGCATTTTCATCACTGGTAGAAAGTGTGGGGAATCTCTCAAAGTAAGGTTGCATGTTATGTAATAGAATGCATAAATGGATTGATTCAATTTGGCTAGAACAGCATGGGGAGATGGTTGATTGGGAAGTTCATGCTAAATTGCATGTCATATGCTTTCATTGATTTATCCATGTTTGTACTTATTATTTATTTGCTTGCTTCCAGCTGCTTGTCAGACATTGCTGTCTCTTCCTGCGGATTTTAATTTAGAAAATATATTAGGTAAATACTGTATTGTTTAAACTTTTAATAACTTAAACCAATCAAGGTTTTGTTTAGTAGTAGTTTAGTAAATGGTAATGTGTGCCAATGACTCTTTCTAAAGAAGTGGGGAAAGTATCCTGAATTTCTTTTTGTCTTGAACATGGCCTGAATTAGCTTTTATATCATAACAAACTTTACAATAATTTAAGACTTTAAGTATCACATATACAATTAAACTTTGCCCTCTTTTAGAAAAAAAATAAATTCAAACATGTGCTTCTTGCTGGTTTTTAAAAAATCAGGTAACAGAAATACAGTTGTTCTTCAAAATGATTAGTTTTATCTTTTATTCTGCTATTGTTAAATACAGGTGACTATTTTAGAGCTGATGAATTTGCAGATCAGTCTCCTGGAAACCTCAGTTCTTCGTCTCTCAGAAGAAAGCTTTTTTTAGATGGGAATGGAAGTATCTCTGACTCCTTACCTTCAGCTTCTCCCGGAAGTCCTCATAGCAGCTCTCAAGCCTCACTTGAGGTGCTTTATTCAATAGATTTATCTCCTGTACAGCATAAGACTCCTATGCAGACACCAGGTTCGGTAAGAAATATACTAATAAGTGGCTTGTTGACTTATAGATGTACTTGGATCTAGATGCTCAGATTATACTCAAAAGGCAAATTTGTCTTTGGGGTATTATGCTTTATAAAAATATAAACCCAATTCATGTGTTGTCATTAGTCATAGTAGTGTTTTTAGTCAGACTTTCCAATTTTGTATTTAGAGGTGTATGGGATGATCAAATTTATCATGAGTTTCAGGGAATCTCAACATAGGCTATTTAGTGAATTATGAAAGATTTACTGTGTAACACAATCATTTGGATTGGCATTAATGAAATAAATTATTTTAAAAGTTTTCATAATTGCTTGATGTGAAAGGTGTGTCTGCAACATAATTATTTTGCAACTTAATTATTTTGACTAACATAATTTCTGCAACTTAATTATTTTGACTAACATTCTATTTCAAATTTTTTCTAGCAGTCTTTTTAAGTTATCTTTGTAACAAGATGCCTTTTGTTGGTTCTTGTGAATGATTCCTAGTTTATACATGTGTTCTGAAGATGAAGACAAATAGCATGCAGTATAACAGAGTTGAGAAAGAGAACCATATAAATGTATTCATTTTTATTACGTATTTGTTTTTATTATAGGGGCAGTTTTCTTCTAGTCCTATTCAGGCTAATGCAAAAAGATACAGTTTGGGAAGCATAACTAGCCCTTCACCTATTTCTTCACCCACATTCTCACCAATTGGACTTCAGATAGGAAAGACACCACTCTCAGGTATGTCTCAAAATATCTAGTTAAAATTTTTATACTATGAGTATTTTTTATTAAAGAGACTCCTTTAGCAGAGCTATAAATGATCATTCTAATGTCTAGAAGCTTTGTTTACAAAAGGAACAATTTATTTTGAAAGATTAGAAATCTCAATGTTCTACTCTAGTGTTAAATAGCTATTTGATTAACAATATTTATATCACTCTGTAAAGAAAAACAGTAATTTGAGAGACAGTTGGTTTTTACATACCTTCTGATCTATAGTTTTAGATTTGATAACCACATATTCATATTTTGTAAAAAGGTATATTTGGATGAGGTTTTTAAAATAAATATACAAAAATTTACGTATTTCTCTTTGAAAAAAATTATACCACATTTTGAAAACGTCACATTTTTAGAAAACTTTTTCATAGTAAATAAAATTGGAAAATTGAAAACTTTTGTTAGTATTTTCTTTAGTTATGTGCACAGATGTGTGTGTGTGTATAAATATATGTGTGTATATCTATATATGGAAGCGTGAGTATGTAGATCTGTATATACTTATACATGTTTGAATATTCTTTTTTCACAAAGCATTTTATTATGAATATTTTTCATAGTCCAGGCAAGTCATTTATTTTTTGTTTCAAAAGCATGATTTTGAAACATTTCATTTGTGTATCATTTATTGTTGTTTTTATTGGTTTTGGTGTGTGTGTGTATGAGTGTGTGTGTGGTGCTGGGGTTTGAACTGAAGGCCTCATTCATGTGGCTCTGCCACTGAGCCACAACCCTAGCCCATCATTTGTTTTTAACCATTGATAGCTATTTAAATTGTTTCTAATTTTTCTTTTTTATACAACTAATGATTATCCTTGTGTATGTATTATGTTGGATATATTTATATTGTTAGCTTAAATTCTCAGAAGTGAAATTATTTAATCAAATAGAGGGGTGGATATTTTAAGACTCTTGATGAATTTTGTTCATTTTCTTTATAAAAGATTGTACCAATTAAGTTTTTCATGAAAACATGTCTAGGAAAGTTGTTTCTCTCCATCCAGAAATGTTGGTGTTATTACTTTTGATTTTCATTATTTTGATAATTACAAAAAGATATCTTAATGCTTTAATTTTTGTATCTTTGTTCATTAAAAATGTTGAACTCTTCCCAAATATTTACTGACCGTTTGTATTTTGAGAAAGTATTAGGTTCAGACTGAAGTTATTGTTGAGTATTTTTTCATTGTGTAAGCTTTCATACTTATTATTTGTGTGGTTGAAAACTTTTTATGTTTATTTTCTCTTGGGAAGATTGTTTATGTGTTTTTATCTATTTTTTAATCTTTGATTTTTATTAAGCTTATGAGTTATAAAACATACGGACCCTTAAAGCATTTTTATTATTGTGATTATCATTAGGCTCTTTATTGTTACAAATATTATTTTCTTTTTTGCCTTTTGATGTTGCTTGCAGTATTTTGCATAAAAGCAAATACACTTTTATATATTTAATTTACCAGATGTAGCTGTTACATTGTAGCTTTCAATATATTTGCTAGGGATCTACTTGAGATGTATACAGGTAGTATTATTATGAATAATTTTGGTATAATAGTGATATATTTATGAGAAAATAATTTTCAAGGAGTAAAATATTGTAAGATAGAGGAGAAGCCAGAGAAATTATTTTTGAGTCTCATCTTGCTTATTGAGACACGTTTACTTGTGTTATTAGTTTTAACATTAAAATTTCACTTTAGTACAATTGAACTCTTAGAAAAATCCAATTTTTCTGCCATGAAACATAATAATTACCATTTAGTCATGGCTTTTCAAAAAGTTTTCATGATGTGATTTTTCCTTCTAATCTTTTAGAACAAAGGAAGTTTACTTTTCATTCTCCTGATGCTTCATCTGGAACAAATTCTAATGGAATTACTAATTCATGTATTGGAAGTCCTTATATAGATGGCTGCTCACCAATTAAAAATTGGTCTCCTATGAGACTCGAGATGTATAGAGGCAGTTCTCAGTATCGAACCTCACTGATGAGGATACCTTTTACTCTTGAGACTCACAGTGAAGATGAAGAAGATAAAGAGAATGCTTCTTCCACAGAAGTCTCATCTCCTGTCATGGATGCTGCAGGAAAACACCTTCAGCAACTGAATAGTGACACTTCTACACCTGGCACACATTTAGTTGTGACTGCCGTGTCTATTACACAAAATCAGTCCAGTGTTTCTGAGAAGGAACTAGCCCTGTTGCAGGACATTGAAAGTGAGAAGGAGAATGATACCGTGGATATGGTTGATCCTATAGAGACAGTGGATGAGAACACTTGGATAAAGGAGCCAGTTGATAATGGGAGTTTGCCCACGACTGATTTTGTGAGTGGAATTGCCTTCAGTATTGAAAGCTCTCAAATGTGCATGTCACCTCTTGCAGAAAGCAGTGTTCTCCCTTGTGAAAACAGTAACATTCAGGTAAGGTATTTTAATATCCTGTTGTCCTTTATTTACTCCCTTGATGTTCTTTATCCTTTTTTTTCTAAGATTATAGTGTGAGAAAGCTAAAGGGTTAAATGTAAGGACTGTAGCATTTTATACTTAAAAAAAATTAATGCCAAGTGATATCAGCAGGATTAGTTACTTTTTACCAGAGCTAATTATTGCATATCTTAGTGCATATTACAGTATGCATTATTATGCATATTTCCTATTGGAGTAAGAAAAGATGAGAGCAGAAAAAAAATCAAGCTGCTTTGTGTTTGTAGACTGCTAGAGTAAGGTAACCTCTCAGGATTCATCTGGTATTATATTCATGTTCTAAAAATACAATAGTGTTTTTTTTCTTTAAGTGACTATGGGAGAAAACAATTTTGAGCATTTTTATGTGTAACTTTTTGTATTTTTTGAAAATGTGATTTGTAGCCACATTTTTCATTTAATTGCACACCTCCAATTTTCCAGTGTCTGGCAACCAGTAATCCTTATTTATTTGACAGATGTATATATTTCATCTGTGAACTTATGATCTTTTCTTGAAGTATATTTCATCTGAAGTATACGTATTTTTTGAAAGACATTTGTTCCATTAATTGCACTATTCTGTAATTTTATAGAGAATATTGAATGAATTTCATAATAGTCACAAGGGCAAATTCTTGATTGATGTTTCTTGGTAACAACATATAACACATAGCACTTGGTATGTGCCCAACACTTCTTGTGAGTCTGTTATGTGTGTTAATACAGTTAATCTTCACTGTAATCCTTTGAAGTAGATGTATTAATATCCCTGTTTTTACAGATGAGAAAACCGAAGGTCAAAGAAGTTAAGTAAATTTCCTAAAACTTTTATAATTAGTAAGTGTTGGTCCTAACAGACTGGCTTTAGAATCCATGTACTTTAATCCAAGTAGATACTGATTCACAATAATAGATAGTTTTATATAGTATTTCAATGTGCAGGCACTTTCTAACTCCTTTGCATATATTAATTCATATAGTTGACACAAGAACTCCATAATGTTTTAGTGTTGTCAGTTTTGGCACACTGAAGTTGAAAATACATGGATTTATTCTAAATAATTAAAAGTTAAATATAATCTTTTGCTCATATTTTTATGCCTATCTTATCTCTCCTGACTTCCAGGTTCCATGCTCAAAAATGATTACATTAGAATCACTTTTACATATTGTAGATTCTAAAGTTGGTTTTATGAGTAGAAAAAGATAGTCAAACTTAGCCTTAAAGGTATTGTTTACTAATAGTTCTCTCTTCTGTTTTGTTCCCCTTTCTTTGTTGGCAGAGCATTTATAGAGGAATTACAAAATACCTGTGTTGAAATATACCTTAATAAGATAAGCATCTAATTGAATTACCATTTGAAAGCTTATACTCTCCTATAATTGTAGTCACTACCAAATGATCGCCTGATTTATGCTGAAGTACCTACAGGGTATTCCATTTCATTTCCAAACTCCTCTCACCTGTAAACCTATTCCTTACATTGAACTAAAATGTTCTGTGATATCAACCAAGTAGTCTCAGTTTTACCCTTTTGGTCCTATCATAACACCTACCTTTTGTGGAGATGTTTATAATTAAAATTGTTTTCATGTATTGTTATTTTTCTACCGCAGAGGTAGCTTTCAAGACAAAAAACAAAACAAATCATATTTTCCCAGAGCCTTTTGATCTACTTCCCTTTGGATTAACTGGCTTCTGTGCGTCTATCAGCTGTCATCCTAGAGTATCTCTTTGTCATTATCCTGGGAATTTCCTTAACCTCCCCGTATTCTATATCTTCCTGTTTTGTGCAGACCATCCTTCTTTTTCCTAATTTACTTCTCATTTTACTGGAACACATTTTCTGGTAGCTATCTAAGGAAGAGGACATTTTTAAGACATTGCCTGTCTGCTGATGTGTTCCTTCTTCCCTTGCATTTGAGTTTAGAAATAATTGCCCTTTAGAGTTTGAAAGCATTGTTTTACTGAATATTTCACTATTGCTAGTGAGAGATCTATTCAGTGCTTAATCTTCTTGAGATCATCTTTTTCCCTGTCTGGACCTGTGTAGGTAAACAGTGTTCTAAAATTTCAGTGATGTTCTTTAGTGTGGGTTTCTTTTCATCCACGCTGCTAACACTCAGAAAGCCCTTATGGACTGTGAACTTATGATCTGTTCTTGAGAAATAGCTTAGCTTTTTCTATGATTTTCACTGTTCTCTCTGGAACTCCTGTTGATTTTCCAGTGTCAAAGAGTCTTTTCACTATATTTTTTTTATCTCCTTTTAATTCTAATTTGTACATCTTTAATTTATAAACTTTTTTTTCTTTTGGAATCTGTGATATGGCAGCCAAGGCATTGCAAGGCATTTGATGTTTGTCTTATTTTCTACCTTTGTTTCCCCTTGCTTTCTTTGTACAGTCCCACTGGCTTTTCAGAATTGTGAGTAGTTCTTTAAAAGGGATTTTATGCATCTCATGAAGAATTTTTTTTCCTATCCCATTTACCTTTACCTAGTTAACTTTTTATTGTTTTAGTTTACAATGTCTTAGTCACATCCTCAGAAAAACCTTCCTTAATCACAGTGGCCATGTTGATCCTCATTATATGCTTTTGTAATTTCATGTCCAGTTTTACATTCTTCCCAATTAAACCATTAATCTAAAAATTGTATATATTTTTATCCCCAGTGCTTATACAAAAACTTGTCACAGAGGGGCTGGAGTTGTAGCTCAGTGGTAGAGCACTTGCCTAGCATGTGTGAGGCACTAGGTTCAATTCTCAGCACCGCATATAAATAAATAATCAACAACTAATAAAATATATTTTAAAAACTTGGCACATACATGTTAAATATTTGTGTAATGAAAGTAGGATGAATGCATAGACAAGTTCAACCAGAGGGGCTATATTAAGTGAGAAGAGCAGTGGGCTAAGATTTGGAACCCTGAAGAAAAATTGAGCAGTTAGATAAAGGAAACAAAGCCCCTGAAGGAGACTGACAAAGACCAGCATAAGAGAGAAAGAGACATTATTAAAGTATAATGTAATGGAACATCGTGAATAGGAAAGAATGTCAAAACAAGAGCAAGGAATATAGGCTTTGGAAAGTGGCTGCTGGGGTAATAACAAAAAGTAACTAATAACTAAATAGCCTCAAAGTGGGGAGGTGAAAAGTGACTAGAAGGAAAGTTCAAGAAGGTGAGGAAATGCCATCATGAGCTTAGATAACTCTATTAAGAGACTTTCTTGGGAAGGGAAAGAAATGATAGCAATGAACATCAAATTCCAAGATTTTGGCTCTGGGCACAGTACACACCTGTAATCCAGTGATTGGGGTGGCTCAGACTGAAGGATCACAAACTAGGAGGGCAGCCAGGGTAACTTAACGAGACTCCATCTCACAATAAAATTCAAATGGGGGTGGGGGCTTCTGGGCGTGTACTTTAATGGTAAAATGCCCCTGAGTTCAATCCCGAGTACTGTTCGCCCCCCAAAATAGTCCAACATCTTTTTGTAGTTTGGTTTTTCATGTTTTAGAGGGAAGAAGCAGCTTATTTATTTACTTAATTTTGGTACCAGTGTTTGAATTCGGGGGCACTTGACCACTGAGCCACATCCCCAGTCCTATTTTGTATTTAATTTAGAAACAGGGTCTCACTGAGTTGCTAAGTACCTCACTAAGTTGCTGAGGCTGGCTTTGAACTTGCAGTCCTCCTGCCTCAGCCTCCTGAGCTACAGGGATTAAGGCATGTGCCACTGCACTCAGCTTGAAAAGCAGCATATTTAAATGTAAGAAAAAGAGATGTTTTAAGACTAGGAATATGGCAAGAATTATTAATAATAGGTATCGGCTGTGTGTTCTTTTCGAGTTCCAGAGACTGTACCCAGCATTTTACAGTCAGAATTCAAACCTCATGATACTTTACACATGCAACAATATCCTAATATGTAAAATGGTGATCCATTTTATAGATGAGGGAACTGGGGCATTCAAGATGGAATAGAATCTAGAACCCTGGTAGGATTGGCAGAGGTAATCCTTCCACTTATATTGGAGGGCAGAGGCCAAGTTGGGCATGAGTGTCATTGTTTTGTAGTTTGGGGGGCTAGCATAACATTAAAGATGTGGGCTTGGATTTCAGTTATAGTGCCCTGCTCTGTTAGCTTTATGAACTTCAGAAAGAGACAACATTTTTAACTTATTACCTCTTCTTTAAAATAAAGAATAGGATTATAATAATGTGATTTGTGGTTACATACTGTGACTAAACAGTGCCTGGTAGGAAGTAATGGGAGACAAGATTCTCTGAATGGTGGCAAGCCAGAGGAGCCCTGAGTGATGAGTCAGGGCTGAAGTGCCAAGGCCGCATTTCAAGGAATGTGAGTGTAAATAAACCACAACTGTTGACAACTGTGAAGCAGTAAAGGGTTTTTAAAGACCATGACATCTGTGTGTGATGGAAAAATAAATTTAGGAACAAAGTGAATGTAGAATGATTGACAACAGGACATTTAAAAGTATCCTAAGAATATGCACTTTATGCTCAGAACTAAATTTGAATTAGTGCTTTCTTATTTCCAGGCTTTGGGATCTTAAGGCAAGATCCATTTGACAGTGAATACACCATGAAGTGTTTCACCTTTTTAGTAGTACTTCATTCTCCTCTGCTATAAAGTGGTACTGATGCCCACCTTGATGCCTGTGGGAATAACAGGATGACCTGTGTGGTCTGGTTGGTACACAGTAGGCATTGACATTGGTAGTGGTTTAGATGAGAGTCTGAAGTCAGCCACTGTCTCAGTGGGCTCTCATTGATCCTACTCTTCCTATAGAATGTGACAGACTTCTAGTGTACCTTACTCATTTTTTTTTTTTTATTGGTTGTTCAAAACATTACAAAGCTCTTGACATATCATGTTTCATGCATTAGATTCAAGTTGGTTATGAACTCCCAATTTTACCCCAAA